GGAGTCTAACCTGCCCCACGACGTGATTGACACCATCTCGGCGGCGCGCCGTCCAGCCACGGTACGCATCTACGCGGCTACGTGGCGCTCCTTCGCGGAATGGTGCATACCACAAGGAATCGACCCTAAGCAGGCCTCAACTAACCAGGTACTCATCTTCCTTCAGAAGGGGTTGGCCGCTGGCCTCGCGCCAAACACGTTACGCAGGCAAGTAGCCGCTTTATCCTCCATTCTCTGTTTGGGGTCCCGTAATTCTTTGGCTCAGCGTCCGTTGATTCGTATGTTCCTTAAAGGGGCTTCGAATCTTCGGCCCCCTCCCGTACATCGTTACCCCACCTGGGACCTTCCTAAGGTGTTAAATGCCCTCACTAGAGAACCGTTTGAGCCTATTCGCACAGTGTCCTTACGATTTCTCTCATATAAGGTCTCTTTTTTGGTCGCTATCACCTCCGCTAGGCGAATTTCAGAGTTGGCCGCACTCTCTGTGAGGGCTGACCTCTGTGTCTTCCACCCTGACAGGGTGGTTCTCCGCCTGGACCCAACCTTTCAACCTAAGGTTAATTCCCTATTTCACAGATCTCAGGAGTTGATACTCCCCGATTTCTGCCCTCACCCGTCCCACCCGAGGGAGCGCATTTGGCACTCCTTGGACGTTCGCCGGGCTCTTCGCATCTACCTTCGGCGAACGTCCTCTTTTCGCAGGTCGGAGGCGCTTTTCGTCTCCTTCCAACCGTCCACTCTGGGTCTCAAGGTCTCCTCTCATAGGTGGGTCGTTGGCTCCGCGCCACTATAGCCTCTTGCTACGAGGCTTCTTCCACTCCTATCCCCAGGCGTGTCACTGCCCATTCTACCCGCAGTGCCGCCACTTCAGCAGCTTGGGCCACTCAGGCCTCCCTCCTTGACATCTGCCGGGCCGCCACCTGGGCGTCCCCCACTCCCTTTATCCGCCATTATAAGATCGATACCTTCGCTTCGGCGGAAGCGGCATTTGGCCGTCGGGTTCTCCAACAGGTGTGTGCGGACCAGGCCTCCACGTCCCGGGCGGGTCCCCCCCTATAGTTCTCGGGCTTTGGCATGTCCCTTTCCTGACCGCTGTCTTCCCCGCTTCCCTAGAATGGGCGTTGACTTACCTGAACGCCCCTTCTGGGGACCGGGAAGACAGCGGTCAGCCCCACCCTTTTCTCCGCCAGTTCGTCTCGGCTGGTCCACTCTCTTCTTTCTACTACTTCTAGGGCTAGTGCGTCGTCAGGAAAACATCACATTCCTCGTCCGAAAGCTGGCAAGCGACAGGAGGAGGAGCTTATCAACTTTCCTGACCCGATCTTCGCTGGATTGCAGCAGATAACCCTTTCCTGACCGCTGTCTTCCTGGTCCCCAGAAGGGGCGTTCAGGTAAGTCAACGCCCATTCTAGTAGAAATTGAATAAACTTTAGGCATATGTAGCAGTTACCTTTCTTCATTTAAGGACTGCTTCTGGGCAAATAAATGTCTTCCCGGATGATTTTTACGAAGGAAGCAGTTGGTTTGTGGAAGAAGACTGTCCTTTTGAATAGTGACTACCTGGAGTTCAGTTCAGCCATGTCCATTTGTGTACCATGTGATCCTGTAAGGAGGAGATTTCTTGTATTAAGTAGACACCCATCACACAATGACTGCCTCTGAGTTGGTAATATTTCAGAAAGCACCAGATACTTAAGTAAATAGGGACCAACTTCATGGCATGCAGGTAACAATATAGCTAATACTGTGGAGTCCTTGGTATTCTCTGAGCTTGGCTGTTTACTTACAGATGTTTTGTTACCCAACTAGGTAACATCATCAGTGCTAGAAGGGGATGGGGTTACTCTGCTCTTATACACTGGCTTGTCCTGTCAATTTTTGTGGGAGTGTTGTTTTCTCTTGTTAGTTCCTTAATTAGGCTGAGAGAGGAAAAAATACTGTAGGAAAATGTGGCAAATCTAGATGTTTCACATCTCTGCACCCATTTGGTTACCAGTTTAAATGGACAGTTTTTTATCATTCTGACAGAATGAAAGATTTGATGTCAAATTGCCTAAGTGGGAGCTAAGAAGGCAAGGAATATCAAGAGGAATTAATTTCAGTATAGACTATTATCTGACTGCACACTTTCTTAGGATTTTCCCTTCCCCCCCCCCAGTTTTATTATAGTGCTAGTAGAGAAGATTATAATTAACATAATTATGAGGAGATAGTTTATTTCTTTAACTTTGGCATCAAGTCTTGTTTGCCTGACATATAATTTGTATTTTATTGCTGTGTTGCTATAGTGCAGCAGATATGAAGGGCACTATGTTGCAAAGGCTGCTTTAAGACATGTCTTAGATAGCAAAAGAAATAATACAAGGGTTGCATGAAACATTAGAATGACTTGCTTAATTTGACCTTTTAGTGAGTCTGCTAATGTTTTTTTCCCCCCTCTGGGATTCAGTATCAGGGCAAGATTTAATGAATCAGCCATCTAATGAATGTAGTTAAATCAATAACTTAATCACTTCAAGCTGTTTCAATTCTTGATTCTGCTGTTCCAATATATTTTGGTGCTCTGTTCATTTAAGCAGACTTTTTATAGCATAAAGGTATAGTCTCTGGTTTATGAAATAAGTAAAAAAAATGACAAAGGAATTAGCATTAATCATGTTTGTGTGCTGTACACTTACAATCAAGGGATTGCTTATTTTGTATAATGTGTTAGTCTACTAATCCAGGTGATTAATTATGATCAAAATAGTATTCAGTTTTTAGACTAATAATTGAGTGATTGCTGTGGTGGTATAAGCCAATAATAAAAGCTTCCTTGTTTTTTTTAATCTTTTTCTGCCTGTGTTGACTTTATGGTGTCCTATCCACTGCAGTTCATAATTTAGCCATGGGATATAGTGCAAGAGTCCATAACGTAGCCATTTTAGACCTGAGTTAAGCAGACCAGGATGTGGAGATAGAACCACAGCATACCATAGCCTCTCGGAAGGCGTTGCTTTGAGTTTCACAGTGGAGGAAAGCTTTTTGTGTACTGCTTAGAAACCAAAACTTATAATAACTTGAATGTTCTTTTTCATAACCAGAGAGATTTTGAGAAGATTTATTTTCCTCTTGATCAACAAGAGTTGCTTAATGCTGCATAGAGGGTGCCACTTGGAAACAAAAGTCTAACGATATGACCATACAAGCAAAATTTGTACCTGCGATTATATTCAATAATGGCTTTGTTTCGGTTAGACCAGAAAACAGAATCTACAAGTTTGAGTAGAACTGTATTAATAATGACTATAATAGTTTAATCTGAGTATAATTACATATATCTGTATATAATAGTCACTCCTCGTGCGATGGGTGGATATATAAATTTAATTAAATAAATAAACAATGTTGAAGGCCTGACTAAGTTTTCCCTTCCCTCCATTTTGGTGAGGATAGAGCCAGTTTTTCATTCTATTTTCAGAGTTTAAAACCTGCTTGTATTTATGCAACCATTGTCTCACTTAGTTTTTCCAAGTTTGTGATATCACTGCAAGAAATGCAGTATGTGCAGTGTTCCTTTCTTTCAATTCTTGCCTCATTTTTCTCTTCTCCCTGCCCTTCTTATCCAACAGTCTCCACCACTCTCCTCTTTTCTGTCTCTTATTCCTTTCTCCCCCTTCAGATATGCTGCAAGCTTCCTGTTGTCGTAGCAACGTAACAGCAGACCATTTGCAAAAAGGAGAAATGAGGGGTTGCAGGCGTAATCTTGTTAGTTTTCCAAAGGACCTCCTAAAAGCTTGTGAAGATGCACATGTTCTTTTACTCACATCGTGCCTTATCCACAGCCTGATCCCTCATGTTGATTGGATAGCTTTTTATATTGAACATTTTGACTCCATCAGATAGAACAATAGGGTTGGAAGGGATCTTGAAGGTCTTCTAGTCCAACCCCTTGCTTAAGCAGGAGAGACCCTTCCAGACAAATGGTTGTGCATTTGAAAACCTCCAGTAATGGAGCACCCACAACTTCTGGAGACAAGCTTAATTTTTTTTTTCCACTATCAGGACATTTCTCCTTTAATTCTGAGTAAGATCTCTCTTTAATGATTTTCCACCCATTGCTTCTTATATTTAGATAAGCATTGCTTTAGTTTATACCTTTGGGCAGATGCCTTAAAGCAGGAATCTTCACCTTTTTCAGAGATAAAGAATGTGTGTTAATTTTGAGACTGTTTGATAACATGGGGAAGGAAAGGATTAGATCAGTGGTTCTCAACCTGTGGGTCCTGACCCCTTTGGGGGTCGAACGACCCTTTCACAGGGGTCGCCTAAGACCATCGGAAAACACATATTTTCAATGGTTTTAGGAATAATTTTATGGTTGGGGGTCACCACAACATGAGGAACTGTATTAAAGGGTCATGGCATTAGGAAGGCTGAGAATCACTGGAGTAGATGAATAGTAAAAAGAAGTATCTAATAAAGTTGGAGATAATTGGTTTCTTTGCTAAAAGACTTCACAAGAGTAGGTGTTCTCTAATCTCAGTACTCCCTTCTCCATCTAGTCCACAATCTTGGATCCTGCTGTGGCATCTCTGGAACTTGGCAATTTAGGATACCGCCCCCCCCCCCCGAGCCCATTGGTAGAGAGCCATTTAGGAAAGCTTTGCCACTTGGTTAATCCATAAAGATTTTGTTGGGCTCTTGTGTCTGGTTAGTCATCATGCTAAGACATTTGATTTAGCATGAAGTGTCACTTCTCCCCTATCGCCATGTCTTAACATTGACTAGTTTGACAAATCATGATTAATATTCTTATAAATTCTATTTATGTCAGATACCGTATTTTTCAGTTCCTTGAGCAAATCTGAACTGAGGATTGTTCCTAAAAAAACAAAAACAAAAGCAACATTTCTTAGTTCTCTAGAACGGTCATAGGCCAGTACTGTACAACCATTTGGTTTTCCTTCCCTCTTCCAAAACTGAAGTAATGATCTTTTCTTCCACATTGATTACAACAGGAGCCATGGCAGTGCAGTGGTTAGAATGCAGTATTGCATGCAGACTCTGCCCAACAGCCAGGAGTTTGATCTCTGTCTTCCATCCTTCCAAGGTCAGTAAAATGAGGACCTAGATAGTTGGGAGCAATATGCTGACTCTGCAAGCTGCTTAGAGCACGGGTGTAAAATTTGATGGTGTCACGTGACATATCGCGACATTTTTTGCCTTTGTGGAACTGGGATGGGTGTGGTCTGTATATGACGCATCTGGCCCGTGGGCCGCCAGTTTGACACCCCTGGCTTAGAGGGTGCTGTAAAACAATATTAAGCAATATATGGCTCTAAGTGCTACTGCTATCTGTATCTTGTCTTCCTTGGAAGGAACTGAAGAAAGAAAGCATGTTGCTACCTTCGTTAACTCCTAATAACCCATGTGAAGTAGATTGCCAATGGATGTTAATAATTCAGGATCCCAATGTGGTTGAGGAAGGATTTGAGACCAGTATGATTATTCCCCATGCTGGCTGGTGATTCTGGGAATTGAAGTCCACAAGTCTTAAAGTTGCCCAGGTCAGAGATCTCTGCTCTAGAGTTATAGTTGTTCTCTGGATTCTGAGGAATTCGTTGGTTCGAAATTGGCTGAGGGTAAGCAAGATGAAGTAAAAGTAATCTCAATTTAGCATTTGCAAAAATGTAGAAAATACAGAGATTAAATTAGTATGATAATAAGGATTATTGTATATCAGGCAGGGTTACTTTCTGTGAAATGTGAGGCCATATAAGTGTTATTAATAAATACATAAATAAAATAATAGTGCTTAAATTTTAGTGTCTTAATTTGTATCACTTCCAGCAGTTGGTTTGCTAATAATCATATTCTATAATTTCTGACGTTTCTTCATTAAATGCTCCCCAAACAATAGCTGTTTGTACAGTTGAGGGTTTTTTTTCAAATTATAGCAAAATAACAGGAAAAAAGCATACATATAACTTGGTTAACATTGCAATATAATAGTAAAATTAAAGGAAGAAAACGCCTGGAAATCTGTATCATAAACAAAATTACTTTTTTAAAAAGTTAACTAAATTGAACAAAAGTTGTTTTTGACCATCTTACTGAAAATGACTAATTAAAACAGTAAACATTATATCAATAATCTATTACTACAATGCAGGTAGTTCTCGACATATGACCACAATTGAGCCCAAAATTTCTGTTGCTAAGCAAGACAGTTGTTAAGTGAGTTTTGCTCCATTTTACGACCTTTCTTGCCACAGTTGGTAAGTGAATCACTAAGGTTGTTAAGTCACTAAGATGGTTTTTAAATGAATCTGGCTTCCCCATTGACTTTACTAGTCTGAAGGTTGCAAAAGGTGATCACATGACCCCGGGACATTGCAACTATCATAAATATGAATCAATTGCCAAGCATCTGAATTCTGATCACATGACCAGAATCACTTGCAGCGGTTGGTGCAACAGTTGTAAATGTAAAAAAAAAAGTCTCAAGTCCCTTTTTTCAGCCTTTGTAACTTTGAATGGTCACTAAACAAACTGTCGAGAACTGTCTGTACTTGTGTATGTATAAGCCTATCCATGGATAGGCTGACATTTAAATTTTTGTTTTTACTAAAATGCTATGAAAAGTGTGCCACCCGTAGCCAGGTTTTTCATAGTATTTGGATTAAAAATTTGAGGATCTTCTGTCCATGAATGGGCTTTTCCATGAGTCATACAGGGTATATGGGTACCTTTTAAAAAGTTTTATTATACATTCTTCCAGATAAGCTCAGCTACGGATAAACTAATTTGGGGGGGTGTTATATTTTGGCACCTAAAATTCCCAGTTTATACATGAGCATGTACAGTAAGTGTATATTTGCCTTTCATTTTTGTATAATGATCCTTTTGACCTGTATCTGATAGATACATGAATTTATGGAAATTTTAATTCAGGTAGTCTTATTGTAATTGGGACCAGCAACTCTGTCGCTAAGTGATGCAATTATAAAGCGTGATATCACATGATCCTGCTGACTTATGACTTACACCCGTTCCAATTGGTGTCATTAAGCCACTCCCCATGGTCAGCATGCCAAAATCACGTGATCACCATTTGCAACTTCCTGCCAGCTTCCCCATTGACTTTGCTTGTCAGAAACTGGCAGTGAAGGTTGGAAATGAGGATCACAAAGATGTCTCTGTGACACTGCAACTATCATAATTATAAGCCTGTCACCAAGCGCCCAGATCATGATTACATGACTGCAGGGATGCTGTGATGGTCGCAATTATGAAGAACAACATTAACTTCTCTTCATTCAGCACTGTTGTAACTCTAAACAGTTGCTGAATGAGTGTTCATTCAACAAGGACTATCTGTAGTGTGAAATAAATATCTACATTTATGGAAACTAAAAACCTACAATTGCCAGGGGTTTTTGCTTTAAATTATTCCTATTTCTGTATGAAGTTTTTACAGCTCCGTTTCTTTTTTCAAGCTCCTGCTTGAACTTTTGTACTACTTTCAGCTGCCCTGTTCATAAATTTAACACTTACATGCATAACATAAATTTAGAACTTACAAATTAGAAAACTCAAAGATCAGCTTATTTCAAGTAACACAATGACTGATGATACAAGAATCTTGACAGGAAAGCCACAAATCCATCAGGCTGCTAGAGATACTTAGCAAAATTACTGAGTACATGTTATACCTTAAATTCATAACTTCTACATTTTTACATTTCAGAGGGGAAGGTTATAACCAAAATACTGCTCAAATAGAAGATTGACTATTCCAATTTTGCAAGCATTTTGCATCTTAAATCATAACTGACTGAATGAAAGATTTTAGTTATGGATTTCAATCTGATAAAGCAGTCAAATGTTTTGGTCATATGGTCAAACATCATGACAGTCATTAAATGGGTTGGTCATATGGCCAACCTGATTTTATAACCTTTTTTTGCAGCAGTGGCTGTTAAGTGAATCAGTGGTTTGCTATGGGTGCAAATTTGCCAAAACCCAAACTATTTCATTGAGGGCCGCATCAAGGTTGTGTTTGACCTCAGGGGGCCAGAGTGGGCATGGCCAGGGTGGGCATGGCCAGCTCAATGTCACTTGGGTCTGGGGTGCCTGTGGTGGCCCAAGCACTCTGTCAGCAAAAAAGGGCTCCCAAGCACCGTTTTCGACTGTGACGGCTTCCTCCAACCCTTTGCCAGCAAAAACGGAGCTTGGGAGTGCCACCTGTGGCCCTCCCGAGCTCCGTTTTTGCTGGCAGAGGCCCCTTGGGCCAGTCCTTTGCTGTTTCCAGGGCGGCCCTGTGGGCCAGATCTAAGCACCCCATGGGCCAGATCCGGCCCCCCAGCCTTGAGTTTGACACCCCTGGGTTATATTTAAAAATCAATGTTATTATGCTTTGATCTTTTCAATTGTTGTGCTTCAATTGTTTTTTCATGCAGCTAGCATTTGTACATGTGCTTTTGCAATATCTTAATTTGGATAATACTAATTTGTATAATGGTCTGTTTTTGCCCAAGCAAACTTAATGACACTCTTAAGGATCACCAAAGCATAATTACAAATAAAAATGAATATTTATATTTTTTTTTCTTCCATTTCTAGTTGGTAAACAATTTGATTAACTGCCCCACTACCCAATGGACTGAACAAAATGACACTATTCATTTTTATCAAATGTGCCAAAGACAGCTGAAATTGCATACTGCTTAACAGTAATTTATTTGCTTCTATTTGCAGTGCATTGATGTCAGAGGAATTCATTTGTTTACGCTGTGAAAATGACTTGTGAAATGAGATCTTAAGAATCATTAGTATTGGGGTAGAAGAGCGACAAACCCTCCAAGAAATTGTTCACTTCAGAAATCAATATGGTCTATTTTCAAGTACTGCATTATGATTATCACAGAATCCATAAAATCAAAGATTCAAGTGTTTTTCTCCTCATTGACTCTACAAATCTATTTGGGCAAAATCATGTATTTAAATCAAGATAGGTTGAGAATGCATTAATGTATTAATCTAACTTTTAGAGCACGTTTAAAAGTGCATTGGGAACAGACAATGTGGTGTCTTCCTGGTGTGTTAGTCTTAGCTACCACTCTGGTGGCTGAACATTATGAGAATTTTAATCCAAAAAAACTGAAATGCAGCAACTTGCCTCTCCAAGGCTTTATAAAACAAGAGGTAACCACATTGTTGTATTAATTAAAATCACCAGGATGTGTTTAAAAAGTGTGATTTTTTTTAGTACATTAAGCCTTTTTATATTTTGTATATGTGTTTATGCTAAAAGTTCTAAAAATGCCCATTTAAAAGCTTAATATAATGTATCTGTTAGCAATATTTTATGCAACATTTATCAGCATTATTTAACATGTCGTAGGGAAGTTTAGATTACTCCAGGTAGTTTGTTGTTCCAGAGCACATATATTGACCTGATCTGACATTTATTCTTCAATGAGTAGAGCACGGCTCTATCCTGAGCTGTAAATTTGCTTGTTAGCTTTTGCATGCTGTTTTTCCGTCCTGAAGTTCAAGGCAACTTCCATTTATCTCCACAATAACAATAATTCTGTGAAGTGGTTTCATCTGAAAGAGATGTAGGTGACCAGCCCTAAGTCATCCAAGAAGCTTCCATAGCTCAGCAGGAACTTGGATCTTGGTCTCCTCAGACTCGGCATTTTACCCGCTACACCACACAGATTTTCATTTATCCATTTAAAATCTTTGTATCTCTCTGCTCTTGTGTTTCACACATTATGTTCTCTTTGCGTGCTTGTGTTTTGAAAACAATCTTTTTAAAAATGAGCAACCAGTTTTAAAACATAATTGATGAAGAACCATTTTAGGTTGCTAAGCAAATTAGCAGCGGGAGGAATCGTTGGTCTTGGTGATCTGTAGTTTCTGCTTAATAGCCAAAGGAAGAAAAGGCCAGCAAGCACACTGCTTATTCTCTACTCTGCATTTTCAGAGAGCCATGTGAAAATGTAGGGCGAAAATGGATGGTATTCCAGGTAAAATAGACAGGGTTTAATCAAATGAGCACCATTTTTCTTCTTCATTCTATATAATGTCAAGTATGGAGAA